AAACATAGTGAGACTGAATCTCTACACAATTTTTTAAATAAATGAGCTGGGCATGGTGGCATGCACCTGTAGTCCCAGCTACCTGGGTGGCTGAAGTAGCACTTGAGCCCAGGAGTTGAAGGTAATAGTAAGCTATGACTGCGCCTCTGCACTCCAGCCTGGGCAACAAAGTGAGCTCTGTCTCTAAGGGGGAAAAAACCCTTACAGAATTCTGTAGTAAATAGTTTAGGCAGAATCATTAAGTAAATAATCCTATAAAATACTCATACTCAGGACTTGGTAAAGTTGGATGTTACTATTTCTCAGAGGCAGGAGTAGGGGAGGAAAAAAACATGTGAAACATATCTGCCCTAATTCTTATCAGCCAATTACCATGCTCTACAAATGATGAGGACATCAATCTTAGACACATCATTAGTTCAAAGATCATTAAGCAAACATCAAAGGCCAAAAGGATGCTTATGATCTACAGCAAGTATTATCTAGGCCCTTTCCCATAACTGTTTGCAGAACCCTCATTCCTACTATGCCCCCATCTTTTTTTTTTTTTTTTTTTTTGAGATGGAGTCTCATTCTGTTGCCAGGCTGGAATGAGCGGCATGATCTCGGCTCACTGCAATCTCCGCCTCCTCGGTTCAAGTGATTCCCGCCTCAAACTCCCAAGTAGCTGGGACTACAAGCGCACACCACCACACCTGGCTAATTTTTTGTATTTTAGTAGAGACGGGGTTTCACCATGTTGGCCAGGATGGTCTTGATCTCCTGACCCTGTGATCCGCCCGCCTCAGCCTCCCAAAGTGCTGAGATTGCAAGCGTGAGCCACTGTGCCTGGCCCCCACCATCTTAATCTAACCCTAAATAAAGGCAAATTATGTAGCAGATATAGCCTCTGCAAGACAGATTCCCCAAAAATCCAATAAGGAAAATATTTCAGATCCTGAACTGAATCTCAGACAGGTTTACCTAGGATCACAGACTGTTAAGTAAAAGAGTCAGAATTTAAACCCATGTATGTCTGACTCCAAAGCCTATTTTTTTCCTACTATACTAAGATGCCTCTCTTCCATAAGAATTTAAGAGATAAAAATGAGATTATTTAAATGCATTTGGTAAATGAAATTTCTGCATTCGTCCACTCAACAAATATTTAAGAAACAGCTATTGTGTCAAGCACTAGGCTAGACATGTTAAACATGAACGGAGTCTTTAGAGCTTAAGGAACTTGTCCCAGGATATATGGCTATTAAGTAATGAGAAGACTAGAACTCAGATAGCCTGACTTCAGAGATTACACCCTCCACTACTCCACTATGCTGCGTCTCTAAAATTTAAAGGAAAACAGGAGTGAAACACTGCGTGTTTTCCACCGCAGTGGAAAAAAAAGTAGGCCATTTTAACTCCATAGTCTTGAAACGAAGCCTAATTAAGGGCCCACTGGCTGACAAACATTTATTCTTTCCTCAAACCAATTTCAGTTTTATGCATATTCATTCTGGACATGGATAGTATTAATAATAAAGATTCTTAACTGTCTTGATCATAAATAATATTACCACCACATATTTTAGTGATTTTTACATTTTCCAAAATGTTTTTACATACATTATTTTAACAAATATAACCATCAATAACTCCCTGTCTTTATTTCTACAGAAAGAAGCCAAATGTTCTGGCATCTATCCAACATCCCTTATTATCTCTGCCTTTCTAGCTTAATTTGCTACCCATCATACTGACAAAAGTTATGTTTCAGCCACACGATTCCCTGAAGGTTCTATCTCTGTTCATGGCACTGTTCATATAATTCCTTTTGCCTAGAATGGTCTTGTTATCTACCTGGTAAATTCTGACTACTCTTTCAAGAGCTATCTTCCCTATGAAACCTTCAGCTCACTGAGCTAGTCACTTCCTGCTCTATGACCACCAAATCAGTTTTACACATCTAGCATAGGATTTATTCTAATTATAGATGTGTTTTTCCCAAGAGACTGAGCTCTTTAAGAGCAGTGACTATGTCTTTCTCACCTGTTTCCTCAGTGCCAAACTCATAGAGCGTATTTAGCATTTATGAAATGATAAAAGAATGATTATACAGACCACTCAACCAGCCATTAGAAAACCTAAGCCCAAGTCATATACTAAAAGGCAAAGTAAGTTTTAATCTCAGTTTTTTCAGTGTAAAATAAGTAATTTTCAATTCAACTAAACGTTCGTTGCCATGACTAAAGCTTCCTAATCATTAGTTTAATAGATGGGAATATTCTGAGAGTTGTTTAGAAGGGTCACAAAAAAATCCAAATTTTGTTATTACCTCCTCCATCATGACATCCTGTGTGGCTGAGATTTCTCCTTTGGTTGCTCCACTGTGTACCAGGTTCCGTAGTCGTATACAGAATTCTCTCATCTATGACAGAAACTTATTCAGCACTCCAACAGTTACCCAAATTCAATCTAAATGAGTCTCATAGACCAACGCAAGTTCTATTTTGAAGTATAACTCAGGCCAGACCCGTGGCAAAGTTCATAAAGGCAAATGTGTTTTTCTTCAACTTGTCCACTTAAACACATAGCTAAAAATGCTTTCCATAAGGAGCAAAGGCATACATTATTCCTCCAAAATACTAGATGGAACTGCTCCTGCTCTGCAAACATCATATAAAGATGTTTTATGTGTCTGGGCATGGGGAAAACACATGATTACATAATGCCTATCACTCAGAAAAAGCAGGAGACAATTATGCCACTATGTTACTCTAGTAGATTTTTACTTAAGAATTTCAATAGCTGTCCATTTTTCCTTCTCTGCCAACTGACTATGACTATGGTTATGCCAGCCCCCAATAAAATTTTCATTTTTTCATTTCATTTTTTCACTAAGATAAAGGTGAGTCTGAAATTTAACCGCAGTGCTAAAGAAGCTGTTGCTCTCACTTCAAATGGAATCAAATGTCATATTATTAATGATCTTTTAGCCTTTCGATAAAAATCCCCAGCGTTTCCAGGGTGGAAAATAGCCCACTTCTAATGTTGGGGAGACACACCTATAGTTTATTTTAAAATGTAATCTTTCTCCCAGGGAGATGAAAAATCCAATTTTGGCCTCATGGATTAGGACAGCAGATTCTGGCAACTCCTAGTTCTCAAAAACGAGGCCTGGCTAGAAAAGCAACATCCCCGTAGGAATTATAATTCTCCTCGGGAAAACTGGTTATGTAGAGAAGACACAATGATTCATTAAGATAATGAAGCAAATAAAAAGCAGTTCAATAACTACAACAAATCTTTAGTGGGTGGATAAACCACATTGATGTGGTCTGGGGAAGTCTCAGAACACAGCACAGTCTTTAAGGAATCTTGCGAATAGTTCTTTTGGTTTTACTAGCACATAAAGCAGTTCTAGTCCACCTCCACTGGAACCAAGTGAGAGACACAGCATCCTGAGTGCTTGCGGCCAGTATTAATTGGACATGGGACTTTATTTCCTAACTATCCCCCTAAGAAGACATTAACATCAACAGAAATAAAAGTGGAAGTTTTTTAAAAGCAAAAACCCTCTAATATTAATTATTTTTAAAGTTATTATGTAGCTACATTGCTTTTGACAGACATTGACATCAATAGTTATCTTGTACACAAACAGTATACACTGAAATACCCAGGAACCCCTTCTAAAAAGTAAGTTTTAAGGAAAGTACACTAAACTCAATCCAACCCTGCTTCATATATTGTACCTTGTGATTCAGAATATCATTCATCCTTCTGGTTGCCTCTGTTGTATAAGATTCAGGAAAGCATTTCTTAGGGATAACACCATATTTTTCTAAAAGAAAACAAATTTCAGTGTTAAATAAGGTAAAAGATTAGAAACCCTGGCAAAAATAGTGATTGTTTCAAAAAATAGGCCATATTTTGCTGGCTTAATTCAGAAAATCTTATACTTCATATTATTAAGCAGGGTTTTTTTTTTTTGTTTTTTTTTAAACAGAGTTTTGCTCTGTCACTCAGACTGGAGTGCTGTGACACAATCCTGGCCCACTGCAGCCTTGAATTCCCAGGCTTGGCCTCCTGAGTAGCACAACTATGGCGCATGATACCATGTGCAGCTAATTTTTTTATTTTCTGTAGAGACAGGGTCCCACTATGTTACCCAGGCTGGTACTGAACTCCTGGGCTTGAGCAATCCTCCTGCCCTGGTCCCCCAAAGTGCTAGGATTACATGCCTGAGCCACCTTACTCAGCCTAAGTAGGTTTTTAATGTGCATATTTATCTGTCTATGTTAGAATTAATTCTATTCTTTTTATCTACTATGCTTTGTCATTTCTCAGCCTTTTGGTCAAGATGAAGTGTATCTATCATACTTTTGTGAAGTGCTCAGCATGATGAGATTTCCCCAAAAGATGTTTTGAAGACATTTTAAAACAGCTACAGTTTTCACGTGTTTCCTGATTACATCAATGGAGAAGAAAACAATTTTTTCATGGAAAATTAGTTCTACTTAATACTACCTTTTCTTCTCCAACCCATCCTTCACAGTAGCTCTCTCCTTACTCCTCATTTAAGAAAGGCACTTTATAGGTGAGAATGTGAACTAAAGGTTCTCAGAAATAACGATATAACCTTCTTGGAGACCAATTCTACTCTGTACATAACCACCAAAGAAATGGCCCATGTCTAACTACAGGCTTACTTAATCACGCTGAGTTTCAGTTCCATTAAAGAAAGAACTTTTACCAACAATATTGACAAGCATATCCCATTGGCCACCATCATTTGCAGGGTTCATAAGCAAAAACTGCACCAGCCTCCCATCCTCAGGCTCCTTTCTCTGGGCTGTGTCCACAAAAGCGTTCAAGAAGAAGTAACAGCGCTCAACCTAAAGAGTAAAGAAAGTTAAATAAAATTAAAAGAAAAAAGAGTTAGTAATTTTACTGGCATTATCAACAGAATGGGAGTCTTGGAATTACTAAGGAATCAACATAATAGTTTTTTGTTTTATTTTTAAAAACATGAACCCTTCGTGAATTTACATGTCATCCTTGTATAGAGGTCATGCTAATCTTTTCTGTATCACTCCAGTTTGGGTATTTGTGATGCTGAAACAAGAACCATAAGTATTTTTAAACTAAAATTGGTAAATAAACATCAGTATCTGACTTCATCAGAATATGTGAAGTTTCTTATACTTGTGTATGTATTCCAATATATTGCGTATATGTGTACAGTGTTTACATTTCAATGCTAAAACAAAACCTGATATCTAAAGTCTTTAATCAATAAACATTTAATGAGCACCTATGTAATACATATTTTGTTTATTTATTTATTTATTTTTAGACAGGGTCATGCTCTGTTGCCTAGACTGGAGTGCAGTGGTACAATCTCACTGCAGCCTCAACCTCCTGGGCTCAAGCAATCCTCCTACCTCAGCCTCCCAAGTAGCTGGGGGGACAGGTGTGCACCACCACACCTGGCTAATTTTTGTATTTCTTGTAGAGACGGGGTTTTGCCACGTCCAGACTGGTCTCGAATTCCTGGGCTCAAGCAATCCTCTCACCTCAGCCTCCCAAAGTGCTGGGATTACAAGCATGAGCCACTAAACCAGGCCAGTAATATACATTTTGAAGATTAGGAAATGGAATATGGCCAGGAGTGGTGGCTCACACCTGTAATCCCAGCACTTTAGGAGGCCAAGGCAGGCAGATCACTTGAGGTCAGGAGTTCGAGACCAGTCTGGCCAACATGGTGAAATGCCCTGTCTCTACTAAAAATACAAAAATTAGCTGGGCATGGTGGCATGTGCCTGTGATTCCAGCTACTTGGGAGGTTGAGTTGAGAGGACGGCTTGAACCCGGGAGGCAGAGGTTACAGTGAGCTGAGATTGTGCCACAGCCCTCTAGCCCAGGTGGCAGGGTGAGACGGTCTCAAAAAATAAATAAATAAATACATAAATAAATAAACAATGAAATAACATTATTTACTGTTTTTCAGACAAGTACTTGAGAAGGGAAATTAGGTCCTAGAAAAGAACAAATAACCTAAAAAGATGTTAAAAAGGGAGATACACTGAATTGAATATTGAATATAAAATTTAAAATTTTAAATAGACAAGCAAAATATAGCCACCTACCAACCAAAAACAGTTCTTGCCTTTGAAAGAGTCAACTTTTGATACTCTGGAAGTCAGAATAAAAGGTGTCTCACCCATTATGAAAGGGCAGGGTATAAATGGAAAAGCAACAAATGAAGAGGCAGTCTCTACCAACGCTGAAATCAATACAAAAAGAATCTTGCCAGATCCGTCCCCTACCTTGTCCCAAAAAAAGAGGTAAGATTGACTAAACTCAAATTCTTCAATATTTAATTTTTTCATGAATGGAAGCCTCATAACATTCAGACAAGAAAAGATCCAGCATCGCCCTGAAACAAGAAAGCACATCAAGAAATTATGAGGGTTCACACAGACTGCACTGCTCCAACTGTTATTTCCCACCAATGAACTCATGACAAGATCTGGACAATTCAGAAAGAGTAAATCAGAAAGAGCAGAAAAATTAAAAACAAAACAAAACAAGAAAGGTGGTAATTATTATTAGCAATATATGTGCAAAGGTTTAATATCTTTAACACAAAAACACTCTTTACATATAAAATAAAGAATCCATTACATATCACCCAAGAAAATCACATTAGAAAAAGAAACATAGCTAGAAAACTGTGAACAGAGACCACAAATAGATCATTCAGTGGCCAAAAAAGATACAAATGACAAAGAAGCAGTTGTAAAAGTTAATGATAAAGACACCTGTTAAGTGGGGAAAGATCATTTATTTCATTTGGGGAAATAAACATCATTATCAATCTCGATAGGAATCTAAATAGGCATAAAATACCTGAATGCAATTTGGCAATACCTAGCAAAAGCTTTAAAAAGTCCCTACCCATCCGGCGGTGGCTCACGCCTGTAATCCCAGCACTCTGGGAGGCTGAGGCGGGTGGATCACCTGAGGTCAGGAGTTCGAGACCAGCCTGGCCAACATAGTGAAACCCTGTCTCTACTAAAAATACAAAAATTAGCCGGGCAAGGTGGCGAGCACCTGTAATCCCAGCTACTCAGGAGGCTGAGGCAGGAGAATCACTTGAACCCAGGAAGCAGATGTTGCAGTGAGCCGAGATGGTGCCACTGTACTCCAGCCTGGGTGACCGAGGGAGACTCCGTCTCAAAAAATAAATAAAAAATAAAAAACCCCTACCCTTTAATCTGGAATATGCGTTCCAATATGCTTCAATATAGGGTGATTGTATATGCTTCGGTATAGGCTGACCTTAACGTAAGTCAATACTCCATTCTCCTAGTGATAAGCCAAAAAAGTGGAGATATTTCCCTAACTGGATTTTATAAACACTTCGAAACATATAGGAATAGTAAATTGTCTACCCATAATATTTTAATAAATTTTTTTTAGGAGACAGAGTCTCACTCTGTCACTCAGGCTGGAGTGCAGTGGTGCAATCTCAGCTCGCTGCAAACTTCGCCTCCTGATTCTCATGTCTCAGCCTCCTGAGTAGCTGGAATTACAGATGCGTGTCACCACACCCACCTAATTTCTGTACTTTTAGTAGAGCCAGGGTTTTGCCATGTTGGCAAGGTTGGTCTCGAACTCTTGACCTCAAGTGATCCATCTGCCTCCGTCTCCCAGAGTGCTAGGATTACAGGCATGAGCCACAGCACCCGGCCAATATTTTATAAATGTAAATATATACTTAAAATCATGTTAACATAAATTGATTTAGAAGTAGTTTTTCCTACTTCACATTTCATTTCCACACTGATTCATACTCTTCACATGTACCTAGCCATCAGTGTCTGTGCCATCATTAGATCCACTCTTTCAGTCAGCACACGTCATCTCTCTTCCTCTAGTATGTTTGAGTCAATGTTTTGAATCCATGCATGATGCTGTCCCTGAAAATTCTATGCCAAGCATCAACTATATAATCAGATTCTTCATTTGTCCTGTATGTGTATAATCACAAACTCCATATCACCACTTCCTGTTCTGACTTACATGATCTTTAAAAGGTCTATTTACAATGATATGCAACATCAATTTATTCTAATTTGTCGCCTTTTAAAAAAAGCTGATTCAATCAAAGGATCTCTGTAAGCATGCAAAGGTAGTACGCATCTGAGGTTTTTCAGAGTAACGTCTTCTCCAAATTGTACTCTACTTCAAAATAAAGTAACTGAGAGCGCCCATTAGAAAAATCCTTTAAGGTCTTAAATATAGGGAAATTATCTCTTTTCTGAAGGAAAATTCTGAGGGAAAATCTTTGACTTGTATTGGGTATAACTTTTTTACTAATATGAAAATACGTTTATAATATATTGGTAAGTGAAAAAGATAGGTAGCTTACATAACAATGCATAAGGTATCAATCCACATTACACACACACACACACACACACACACACACACACACACACACAGACCTGACAAATATACAGGAAAAATATTCACTTGGTATTTGCAAATATTCTACATTAAACAAAAATAATTTTGTAACAAGAAGAAAACTCTAGTTAACCACAGTGTTTTTTGAAAGTCACCAGTGCCTTACTATTAGTCTTTACCTTAGATTTACCTGTATGTCACCTCTCTTCTATATGCTATATATTTCTAGTAGAAGGGATCTGGATGCACTGGTGATGTGAAAACTGCATGAAAATAAACTACATAGCTCACATGCTATTTGGATCTTTTGTATATAAAAGTGACACTGCAAAATGTGTAAGACCTGACCTGTTCCCTAACAAGTCACTGCAATCTAAACTATGTAGGACCACTGTGACATTACTAACTGGATCATCTGTAGCCTGAGAGCCCATACCACTCCAAGCACTTTCTTCTAGAGCAAAACATTAATTATTGTAAGGTCTTGATTTTTTCCTTAACATTTAAAAAATCAACTTTATTCAGGTAAAATGTACATACAATAAAATGTACTCAAGTTAAATGTGTGCTTTGTGAGTTCTGACCGACTCTAAACAAGCACTGATGTGCTTCCTGTCCATATAGATAGACTGGGGGTCTTCAAGTAGAAAAAGACTTTAAAAAAATCCTTTTAGTACAATTTTGTTGTGAGAATGTGCTCCTTATTTAGATTGTTGGATATCCAATCTTTCACTATACCTGTTTTTTTTCTGAGAGTGGTGCTAGAAAGCAGATAGCAAAACGAGACTTCTTGACTAGTAAGGCATGAGAATAGAACTTTTTTCTGTATTACAAATTGATCTACTGGTGGGAACTGAGCCCATCAGCACATTAGCTTCAACTGTAACCAAGAAGCAAATTTAAAAGTAACATCTGATGACATTTTAATGTAATTACATTGTATCTTTTCTATTTCATAGTATAGGGCGTTTCTGGGGAGTCCTCCAAGGATATGAACCTTTTCACATACTCTGTTTTGTGACCAAAACCATGTATCTCCAAAACATGGGCTACAAACCACAAAACATCGGAACATAATATAGTCAATTACACTCAAACGTATACTCGTGGACATGTCACTTTAGTATTCTAACCACATGTGCTAACAAGCCACAGAACACCAAAACAAACCACATTGGTAATGTTCTTAGACCTGCCTGTACCTGTGCCTCACTCTCTAAGAATTTACAACCAGTTCTTTCAGTACGAATTTAAGACCACTCTCAAGTAAGACACCAAAATGGGACGCTGTCAGGAAGGTCAAGGAAAGTATGGGAGAAGTTGAAGCCCACACCTGAGCTCTTCTGGTTGGTGACTGGCTTGCCCTCCTGGGACACCGCGTGCTGGAACACATGCTGCGCGCGCTGCACCGTGGCCCGCTTCAGACAGATGTCCAGCAGGTCGTGGGTGGTCCCGACATTCTGGGCAAGTACGAACTGGGAGTCAGAATTCAGTTTCTGTATCAGAGCAGCTACCTTCTCCGAATTCAGTCCTGTTGGGAGACCAAAACGGGATTTTAACGCCAAAAAGAGGGGGAAGAGGGCTGATCCGGGGCTCCCGCGTCCCGGATCTAACTTCGTAGGCGCATCCTGGGATGCCCGCTGCAGCGG